AGGGCCCTGATTTCCCGTGTCACCTGGTTCCCGAGTTGAGCTATCAGGGCCGGAGCGAGGGATTGCTGTGACATAGCGAACCCTCCTTCCCCGGTAATGGCTAGCCCTGAAGCTCACGTCATACCTGCCCCTCCCAGTCGTGACCATAATGCTCCGGCCCGCCCCCATACTCGTAGACCCCCCTCTATCTCTCAAGGCCCCCGCTCTACTCGGCAGGCCATTCAAATCAGACACTCTGGGATGAGAGGCAGATCCAGGCCCCCATCCACTTCTGCTTCTGCACTCAGTGGAGGGGGCTCCAGGCCGCACTCTCAATCCCATCATACGCACCAACCAGGCATTCTCCGCATACATATCCCACTATAGTTTAAAAGGGTACAGCAATACAGTAAAAATAATTACACTAATTTAAAAGAAGGTGGGATCATTCACTCACAGGCATACACATACACTCCACATACAGAAAGAAGAAGGGGGGTTGCGCAGATATTAAATTGGTGTTGAAGTTGTGCAAGTAAGATCGTCAGTTCGTGGGGCGGGGACACAAAGGTCAAGTCGATGGCAGGGGGATGCAGAGGAAATAGATCGTCTTCTCTCCCAGACAGTGTGGTAAAGGGAGGCAGAGGTCTGGTTGGTTGAGATGGTGTCTCTAGAGTAGTGGTAAGCGGTAGTGGTCGTGACAGGGGAACAGGATCGTAAATCTGGGAATCCAGGAGTCCAAATTCCATAAGCAGTCCAAAGTCCATAAGCAGGGAGAGCCAGGTGGTAAAAGTAATAAAGCGAAGAGCCACAAAACGGTTGAAGGAGAGGCCACAACGTGGAGAAAGTCCAATCGAATGGAGTGGGTGGGGGAGGCACCCAAAGGGGTCGTAACGATGGTAAGCGAAATCAGCTGTCCACCTCCGTCCAGAACCGCACAAAACAGCCACCCCACTCTGTGGAGACAGACGACAAGCCAATACAACTCCAAAGGCTCCAAGGGCTCTCCCAATCACAGAGAACAGAGACAAAGGCCGCCAGGACTGCTGCAAGCCAAAATACAATGAGGAAAAGGGAGGAGGGCCTGGGAGGGCCGTGGCAGCGGCAGCAAGGCCAGCCGCCTGATCCCATTCGGCGCCATCTGGACCGGTCACCCCCTCGTTGGCAAGATAGTGTTAGTGCGGTCTCAAAGGTTCTCCCGAATTTCTCCTGAGTTTCCCAAGTCCAGAAGTAAAACCAAAGGCGCTGGCGTTATTAAAAGCCGCCGGGAGTGGCACCATCTTTGCCACCAAAACGAGAAAAAACCACCAAAGCAACCATACAGGCTAGAGACCAGCCAAAGGAAGCGACCCCCCAGTTGATCATCTGGCCAGGTCCCCCGGGTCATACTCTACCGTTCGGACCCTTTCTTGTGGGGCTCGCCGATAGAGACCGTGATGTTTCGGGCCTTTCTTTTCACCTATCCCATCGGAGCAAGGAGGCTACCGGCCATTAACAAACTCGCACATGCGCACCATGAGTTAGATTAGCATATTTTATTACAGGTGGTGCTGAGATTTCTTTAATTTCTTATTTTAATTATTAGCTAACACATAAATTCTTCCGTATTTGCATATTTTTCCGTACTTTAAGCGGGTTTTCCTCTGACTATATGTGGTATATGTGAGCTGTGTATATTTGCATATGTACATATGTAAACATACACATGCATATGCATACAATGACATACTTAACTGGGCTCATCCTTTCTAACTTTCTGCCTAAAGCTTTTTGGCTTTCTCCAGCAAAACTGAAATAACAAAAAGTGCTTAGAGTTCAGGCAATTGAAAATGAAAAACAGCTTGTATTTCCCTCAGTTGCTATGACATAGGGAATTTTGTTCCCGTTTATTGTGATAGAATAGAAAGTTCACATCTTATATCTTCTTGTCAAGCATGATCTAGGTATCCCAAATGACTTCTTAAAGTAGAAAATTAATGATAAGATTTAGATTTCAAACAAGTTTGCTTATAATGTAGTTAACATTCTAATTTTGCATGATTAATTTTAGTTGAATGAGTCCTTTTCAACCCATCCCAACCCCCACCCCTATTGCAATACCTCCATATGGCCACTGTGTTTTCCTTATTAATGTATTCATGTAAATTCCCAAGGGAATCAATCCTGAATTCTATTTTCAAAGCCCTTCAGCGAGGAATTCATTTTATCAAGAGTTGCAAAGATTTTGCTTAGATATGAACCCAGAAATGTATGAACTATAATATAATAATTGGTAGAGGTGTTCTCTTAATGGAAGAATAATAATTGAATATAACATTTCAGAAATTCTAAAAATTGAGCCTAATAGAAGATTATTCTTACATTGCTGAGTCGTGCATTCTAACTCTGATTAGAATGCAGTATTGCAGGCTAATTCTGCCAACTGCCAGCAGTTTGATTTTCACCAGCTCAAGGTTGACTCAGCCTTTCATCTTTCCAAGGTTGGTAAAATGAGGACCCAGATTGTTGGAAGCAATATGCTGACTCTGTAAACAGCTTAGAGAGGGCAGTAAAGCACTGTAGTATATAAGTCTAAGTGCTATTGCTATTCTTAATGCTTGATCCTTTTTTTCTTCTGCAAATATACTACTGTTGCCTATTTCATTTTGATTAAGCAGATATTTGCAGAAAGAACAACTGGGCAAGTTAAAAACAAAGGAAAATGAAAAGTTTAAGACCTGATACACAATCCCAAGCTTTCCCTCTTCCGATTATTGTATTTTATGGCATGTTCTTTCAACAGAAGACACAGCAGCAAAGAAGGCAGTATGTCATTTTAATGGAAAAACCTATGCGGATGAAGAACGTTGGGACATTGATAGCTGCACTCATTGCTACTGCTTGCAGGGTCAGACGCTTTGTTCCACAGTTAGTTGCCCCTCTCTTCCTTGCGTGGAACCAATTAATGTGGAGGGAAGTTGCTGTCCCATGTGCCCAGGTAAGTTTATTCAGCCAGAATCGTTGTATTTCTTTTTAACATAGAGACATTAAATAATCATTTGTCCAAGATAAAAGGAAAGTTTGGAAAGGTAAAAGAATATATTTTCATTAAATGAAGAATTAAATAAAAAGCTCTGGTTTGATTTTTGGGTATCCAGTATTGAAGTCAAGATTTATATTCAGAAACTTTTTTTTTTTGTATCTCAAAAAAACATGTCTACAATAGTCCTTGGCTTATGACTGGTTATTTAATAATTGCTCGAAGTTATAGTGGACTCAAAAAAAGCTACTTATGACGCCTCCTTAAAGTTACAGCTGCCACACCATCTCTGCAGTCATGTAATCACATTTTTGGCACATGGCAACTGGCTTGTATTTACAACCAGTTGCAGCATCCTATGGTCACATGATCACAAGTTGCAACCTTTTTGCCTGTTTATGTATTTTGGCAGTTACATGGGAAACAGGAAAATAACATATTTATAAACAGTATTCCAAGACTTATAGTTTTCAAATATTTTTGTTCTGTTTATAGATTCAGTAAAAGAATAATTTTTTTTAACATGGTAGTTCAAAAACCCATTTGTTCTTAATGATCAGTGATAAGAACTGGGTGTTCATAATGCTATTATAAGACATACTTTCTACCTCTTTTACTTTATAATTTTGTGCAGCCTATTTACACCTAGACCTCCGGGGGAGCTTTAAAAAAATACTTCATTAATGTTTTGCAAGTTTTTAATATATTAAATGTAAAGTCCATTTTAAATAGCTTTTATTCACAAACTTTGTTAGCAGTGTTGGTATCTTGGTTAGCTAGCGTTCCTATAAGTTCCTTATTGTTTTGCAGAAATGTATGTACCTGAACCTACCAACATTCCAATTGAGAAGACAAATCATAGAGGTGATAAAGAACTAGAAGCACCAGTCTGGCCTACATTCAGTGAAAATGATGTTGTTCATATCCATAAAGGTAAACACCATTTAAATCAATTATCTCTGCATAAAGCAAAGACAACTTAGGTAAGCTTCAAGCTGTCTTTTTTTTTAGAACCATATTGGCAATTTTAGAATTTCAAAAGGTTCTTAGAACACCAAATTTCATTATAGGAACTTGGTTTTGTCTGAATGACTTGAGCTATAGTTCTCTGTGGCTGGAGATGAGAGGATATAACACATTCTCAGCATTACAGGAAGGCTCCTGTAGTCAGAACTTATCTTTGCCAATAGAATGGCTTGTTTAAAGAAGAAGAATAGGATACCTGTTCATAACAATTGTTTATATTTCAGTCTAATATAGGACAGAGAATCATTTCTGTAGCCAAGAACCTTACATTATTTAAACTTCCTTTTTGCAGCCTCCAGGAGCAATAGAGACGTGATCTTTATGCGGTAATTGCAGAGGGAGGGAGAAATAGAGGCAGGGATTCTTCATTAAAAGTTGATGGGCTGTTTTGGTTTGGCTTTCCAGGCATCCAAACCTAGATTTGTAATAAGAATTTTTTCTTATTTTTTAAAAGTGAAAAACTACATTGGCCTAAGTCAGTATTCTAACCCTAAATTTTAGCAATGCAATTTGAGGAGTTAATTAATTAATTTGAATTAATCCCCCCCCCCAATTGAACAACTGCTTGATTACTTAACACAGATGTCCTGAATCGTGATTTTATTGGTAAATTTTGAGCCTTAGGCTATGTCATTTCCAGACCAACTAACAGAAGCCTACCATGTACCAAATTGTTATAATACTATTATATTTTTGTTTATTGGATTGTTTTAACCTATTTTTGTACTGGATATCAACCATAATAAAGATAATGCATATAAAACAATATTAAATAACAAGTCAATAGCATAACAGTAATTATATGAACCCTAATATAGTTTTCCAGTGTATTGACTGAAAAATCTGGAACAGGCAGGTTATTCAAGAATGAATAGCATCAGTTTCCAACTCCTACTTGTTTAACCAAAAAAATAATAAAATCACTGTAACAGTGAGATGAGCAGTATATAGATTTAATAAATTAAATGAAATTACATTTTCCACTTACATTATGCTGCAAAAATGAAGATGTCTATGTGATAAAAACTGAATCAATGCCAGTTGATAAACCTGAAGTTGTACTTGACCTAAGTAAATCTAACTTGGATCTAAATATTTCTTATACTATTACTTTTAGTTATGAACACATCATTTGGAAAAAAATGTTTATCATGTTATTAAGTATGATATGAGCTACTCAGTTACTTTATTTTTTAATTGGTAATGTGCTTGTTTTTACATTTTACAGATATGGGTCATCTTCAGGGTGAATATAGAGAAACTAGAGGATCACAGCCAACTGCAGAAGCATCTCTTGATTCTCTTGCCTGGGTAACCGTACCCCTCTTAACAGCTCTAGTTCTTATAATTGCACTTTTGTTTATCAATCAGAAAAAGCAATGGATACCAGTATCCTGCTACAGAACTCCAGCAAAGGTAATGGATTAAATAGCATTTGTACTGTACAAATAAGTAACTGGCTATCTTGAATCAGTTCAGCAATTAAATAAGAGCAGACAGTTGTGGAAATGGAGATCTGCAAGTGTCTTTCCTATGCGTTCCCTAAGGATACATTATCTGGAAGCATTGTTTCTTTGGAAGTTTGATTGCTTTCAGAGATCATGGCTTTTGGAGATTCGGGATTGATTAGAGGAAGGTGTTTTCTTTTTCAACTAGCATATAGTTAAACTGTAGACTGTACCGCCAACAGTTAGAATTATTGGGTGGTTTTAAAGGAGACAGAAAGATTCATTGATATAGTTGTTTATTGTCCCCCCCAAAAAACAGAGAGAAGAAATGTTCAGTACTCCTTGTTGGAAAGCAGTGTTGGAAGAGATTGTCACTCCAATCTGGGCTTGTAAAATGTATTATGTTGGCCACTGTGATCAAACACACAGGAGTAGGTGGCTTGTGGTTCTATCAGAGAGAACTCTTCTTATGACCAGAAGGGTACAGTAGCCATTTGCCCAAGAATGTTCTTTATGCAAGGGATCATTCTAATAACTGAAGGTTAATTATAATAATTATAACTATCAGTTATTTTATTTGCAAACTTTTATCACAAATGAAGCCCTGAACAGTACAAAGCCATAGTATATGTTTGTGCTCTTTGCTTTTGAGTCTAAATGATACTGTAGGAGTGAGTGGCTGAACTTTCTCTCACCTTTGCAATTAAGAAGACTCTGTTTAGTAGAGAATAAAAATATACTGTACCCAAAATGCTGATTTTATGTATTGTGTTTCCATCCAAACAGCCTTCCTGCTTAAATAATCAATTAGTGTATGTGGACTGCAAGAAAGGCACCATGGTTCAGGTGGACAGTTCTCAGAGAATGCTTAGAATTGCTGATCCAGATTCAAGATACAGTGGATTCTACAGCATGCAAAAACAGAGTAACTTACAAGCAGATAATTTCTATCAGACAGTGTGAGAAACTGCATCTCTTATCAAGAAATTAAGAAGAAACAAAGGCTGAATCTGCTATTCAAATAAAACTAGAATCATGCACTTGCTTAGTGGATTGTATTGGATTTGTGACTTCATGTACAGCTCTAAGACCTTGTTGGGATTGACTCTGATTCCTGCAGTGTGCCAGAACAAGCATTCCCACTTCTGACCAAGTGTTTTCCTGGAACCAAAGTTTTAAAATTTGTTGATGTTTTGCTTGTAACATAGTAATCATGATTGTTTGGGAAAAGAAAACTGGGGTGAGCTTGCGTGGTTAGAACAAGAAACTTCAAAGAATAGCTGGTCAGCTTAGCTTGGAGTCAAAAGAATATCTCTTTTTACTGACACTCCAAATTGCATTTATTGCAGTGAAGTATAAGCAGAACCCTAACACAATTCAAATCAGAACATTTGGGGTGCTTATGCTTCAAAAGTAAATCCGTAGGATAATCTATTGCATGATAGGTGCAGGATAGCTACAGCTGTATTTTTCTATCTGGTCAGAAGCTGCAATAGTGTATGAATGATACAGTAAGGAAAACATTAAAACAAAAAGGGCAAATTAATGGGAGATAAGTACAATCATACATTGTGCTGCTTTTTGTTTTTCATTTTGATGTTAATTGACCAGACTGGCAATTAGCAAATATATAATTCCTGAGAAGAGCACTGGATCTTTTGGCAACAGTATTGAAGGGGGATAGAGGAAAAGGTAAACACCGTTTGATTCCAGAACTCTGTTTGGGGGTGTGTGCGCGCGCATGTATGTGTTTCTTTTACTGTCTATCAGTTTTAGGTGTTTCACACACCAAATTATCTTTGAAGAAAATGATCTTGTTGGATGAAGATCTAGCTCTGATTCATTTTTGTATCATGTTAAAGGGGGGCGGGTTCTGTTACTGATTATGCAGACTAGAAGCAACTTTCATGCTAGGAAGCTGCTTAATTTTAATGTATATTACTCAAGCACCTTTTTGGAAGCTCAGAAAGAAAGATCATGCTTCTTTAAAACTTTAGCTTTATAGAAATATCCATGTAAATATCGTTATGCTTAAAAAAAGCATTTGTGTGTCTCTGTGTGTTTAAGTGTTTATGTGTATAGTATTTTATATATACATACACATGTGTATATGTGTATGAATATATACATATAAAATACACATATACTCCTACTATATATGTATATATGTATATATACAGTATATATATGCTATTTATATATACAGTATATATCAGTATATTTTGTATTTTCCCTGTTGAATGTATTTTTAACTGAGATTTTACCCAGAACAGAAACACAGGCATTCCATATTATTACTTAACCTTGCGTGTGTAGAAAGACAAGATGAGGTTATCTCATTTTATCTAGTTTTATTTGATTTGGAAGTGTTAGGATGCAAATGAGTGTGTGTGTGTGTGTATGTGTGCATGCCCTTATGTTTGCATACATATCCAGTGTGTGCACAATTTTAGCAGTAAGCATTAGTATCGCTACTTGCTACATTTCAGGGTGTGTGTGTGTGTTTGTTTTTTTATCCTGCATGGCCTTAAAAAGGCTTAAAATCCAACGCATTGGCTAGAGACACTGATAATGTATAGGCAGCACTCCTCAATTCCACAGAATAGCAGTATCTGCATTTGGACTTATTTCATAATAGTTGTTTGAAGCAGCTATTAAAATAAAGTCCACAACTCACTGAAGGTTTGTTGCAGCTTGACTTGTAACTTTAACTGTACACACAAATTTAACTTTTCCAAACAGGTCTTGGCACTTTTATACTAACTGCCCAGTTATGTGTTGCCTCTTACTTTCACAATTGCTTGTCCTGAGACACAGATACCCAATATGTTTAATGTGAAAAGAAAATGTATTTTTTGTAAAGGAACTCTCAAGTATTGTTGTAAATACTTGGTCAGAGATTACTGAACTTTAAAACTGAAAAACCTAATTTATTATATGACCTAATTTATTAATCTGAAGATTATCAAATATCTTGTTTTAGAATATCACAAAGTGTTCTAGCTGTTTGTGTCAAAGAGAAAAGGTAATAGGTGTATCATAAAGGCTCAGTGTTTTTTTCTGTTATGAATTCAGTTTCCAAAAGAATAAAAAAAATGTAGCCCCTCTGCCCCCACCACAGCATTTTATCCTTAGTATAAAAACACTGAAATAAACATTACTCTCCCATTATTCAGATTCTGTCATGGTCAATCATTCATTCCTTTCATAAAGAGGAAACAGTCTTTATCGGAAAATTGTAAATGCTTGCTTTGTTTTACAATCAAGGCCATATTCTGAATGATACTTGCAGGATATAGGACATGGTGTAAAATGGTTTTTTGTGTGTTTTATTTTATTATTATTTTAAAGATATTATTTATCCTATGTGCTGTATTCATTACACCCTTTTACTTTGGTTCCTGTTGTGCTCTTGTAAGAGAAATGCAGATACAATTTTCTGAAAAAATAACATAGATGCATATTATGGCACTTAGAGTGCGCTGCAATTTGGCAGGTTGCTTGTTTACTTTTTAAAATGTAAGATGGTTTCTTGTAATTTGGCTCTTGGCAGCACAATAAAAATTAACTTGATGAACTTTTCATTGCTGTGAAATGCGTTTTTCTGTATAATATTATTTTCATTTTTTTTTACTTTCCAGATTTGTATCTTGACAAACATCTTTCTTGCAGTGCACAGAACGCTTGTTAAGGATCTAGCCACTTTGAGTTCTGTTCCATAATGCTACATTACCCCTATCTTTTCCCATCTTCTAAGGTTTGAATTCTCTACTTCTATGTTCAGTATTATGGGGTATGAGTATTACATGCTTCCTCAATCTCTTTTTTAAAGATGATTGCATTATTCTCCCTAAATTTATTCCCCCCAACCTTGCTGATATTCTTGTTCAAGAGTGGAAATGTTATTTTGCTTGAAAAATGAGCTGATATTCTCAGCATGCAACCTTAAGAGCACCAGGGTGCCTATAGAGTATGGTAGTCTTGGACCTATGACCACAGGTAGTCCTCGACCTACGATCACTAAGTGAAACATTTGTTAAGTGGGTTTTGCCCCACCTTACGACTTTTCTTGCCACTGTTGTTAAGTGAGTCATTACAATTGTTAATTTAGTAACACGGTTGTTTAGTGAATCTGGTTTTCCAATTGACTTTGCTTCATAAAAGGTGATCACAGGACCCCGGGATACAGCAACCATCATAAATATGAGTGAGTTACCAATCATCTGAATTTTGATCACATGACCATGGGGATGCTGCAATGGCCGCGTTAAAAATGGCCATAAGTCACTTTTTTCAGTGCCGTTGTAACTTTGGTCACTAAATTAACTGTTGTAAGTTGAGCTCTACCTGTGTGTATGTGTTGTTTTTGTGTGTGTATGTGTTACCCTGCATCTGTTATCAGTATTATATCATAGAGGTGTAAAGGGCCATTTAGGGCCTTCATTAACTCAGGATCAAAATTAAAGCATCCCTGTAAGTTCATCCTCCTATTGAACACATCCAGTGAATGGAATTCTTATCTCCTCTCCAGTTAATGACAATCAGTTGAAATCACCTACATTCTGAAACACCAGGAAACAGGTATTGACCTCCTTCTGTGTAATATCATTTGAAGAGTGCACTTGGTCATCATTAAACACATCCAGCTCCTTCAAAATGTCTTCATACAACTTGGTTTCTAATTCTCTGATCATTCTTGTCACTCTTCTATGAACCTTTTCACATTTCTCCATCCAGTGCTATACTTAAGATGTACTTTGAGTAATTAAGTGGAACAACTCTGTTGAAAAAAATTAATATTTGACTCAAATTCATCTTATAGATATTTCAAATACTATTACCAAAAGCCAGTTTTTCCTTGGGAAGTTTGTATCAATAGATGTCTATGCCCCACTCATTCTCTACAATCTATTATTGTTATGTCCTGTATTCTTTTTTAAAGTTAAGGATGCCAACTCTCATTTTCACTTGTAGGCACCTGATGCCTTGGATGGACGAGCTTTTGTTCTACAAGAGTTGCATGAGATACCAGTACCATGCTCACTATCCCCACAACTGCTTCCTTAAAGGAGAAACATCTATTCTAGTACTCACATGCAGAATTTGTTAATAAAATTGTTGTTTTTGATGAAGGAGGTCATCAAACACTGTTGCTGTCTCTTTTAACATTGCAATACAAATTCATATTTCCTGGGACCCTGCAAATACCATCAGAATCCAGGAAATGGCACAGCTACTTTAAGAAGGTGTAGACAGATGCATTAAGCACACTTATGCTCTGTGTGTGCCCAATGCACAGCCGCACCATTGTATCCTTAACACAAGAAGAACAAATCAATAACTACTCCAGAGATGTTATCTAGCTGATTTGGTCATGTTTGTGAAATTTGTCGAATTTCCACATGCATTACAGCTAAGCCAAAAGCTCACATTTTTCCTGCTCCGCCTGCACAGAGGAAGAAAAGCTTGGAACATCCCTGAAAGAGATGGGGGTTGCAAAAAACCAACTACAAGCAAAACCAAAGCCTTGGAAGGACTTTGCTCCAGATTTTATATATTTGACATTATACTGCTTTAACCCAGTTCAAAACACAAGTGTGACCTGTTCATTCAGCATGTCCTCTGACTGCTCTTAACTAATTAGTAACACCTATAAAATATTTAAGCCACCTGTATGTTGTATCCATAATATTAAATAAGGAGTGCTTAAATAAGGCGGAAACAAATAACATGTATATGAATTAAGTCTACTGTGAATAGAAGTTTGACTCCTGATTGCAGAAATAAAAAAGCTGAAAGCCAACTTTTTTAAGAATCACCAGAGAGTATGAAAAGTACACCTGCATTATATAGAGGTCTACATGAATGAGAAAAAAGCTCTGAGGAAAAATTTCCCCATATGCACAAGAAGCAGAAGTGTACCACATATGAAGAATATACGACAACAGTAGTATTTGGAAATATATGTCAAGAAAGAGTACACAAACTAGAAAACAGTCCGGTAACAGGAACTGGAACTGTTATCAGCGGTAACTAATTTGAAGTTCTGAACATAGAAGGCAAATTTCAACCATCCAAGATGGTAATATTATTCCAAAATCTCTAGAATAATGCAAAATACTTTTTCTTTGGAAGAAGCAACAAAGCGGAAAAAAGAATAATTGATTTGAAAGGCTCACTGTTTTGATAACCGGAGCTGCCATGTATGAATTTAAAAAATATAATTAAAAGTATGCCATTTTCCTGCTGCATGTCTCCAGATCATCAAGGCTCATGAAACTGAACAATTACTACCTACTTCTAAATTATTTTTGTGGGAACAGAACACTGCTACAAGGAGAGGATTTCCTTGGTAGGAAGGTGAATAGGAACCCAAGTAGTGTTTTTATCTATCTTTTCATTGACGATCAATAGGCAACAATGGAAAATACAAGATAAGTCATTGGCCACCAAAATGGTACAATCAAAGATTTGGATTTCTGGAGAAAAAAAGGTGCACTTCACAAGAGAAGGAAAAAAATTGTAAGAGGAAACTAAAACCAGAAGGAAGGGAGAAGTAGATGTACAAACCAGGTGTAAAGCAACTGTTAGGCATAAGGGATATAGCTGCATGATATAATTGTAGGAGATGACTAGGCTGAGCTCAAGGGAGGGGTCAAACACATCATAAGTCATGAGTCCCTGCAAGCCCACAAGAGATCTAAGTCCAGCCCATCTTGAATACCTTTCTTAACTCCCCTTATTTCCCTTGACCATTAGTAGCTCAGATCATTGTAGAGAGTTTACGTTTGCCATAAATCTTCATGCTCATTTAAACTGCCTGAATCTTCTGATTTCTCCAGTGCTTGATATATTAATACAGCTACAAAACGGGGGGGAAAACGTTCTTAGAACTTTCAAATATATGATAGCAGCAATAGGGTGACAAATTAACTGAGACATTCTCCATAATTTATGGACCAAATATGGGCAGCTAACAAAGAATCATCCTAACACAGAAAAGTGTTTTGACATAATTATCACAGAAAAGTATTTGGCTAAGCGTCATAATCGGAATACAGAAATTGAAAGATCTTATTTATTTAAAGTTATACATCCAAAAAAAGGAAG